ATCTATCTATCTATCTATCTATCTATCTATCTATCTATCTATCTATCATCTATCTACCTACTTACCTACCTACCTATCCCCTCCAGTAAATATTTGTTAAATAGATGAATTTCTCAAGAGCACTTAGGATGCACTTTGTACCTAATCAACATTTGCTGAATGGAATTACTGAACCATCCAAACAAGCTTATATTGTGTTCTAACAAGTATATCCATAAACCATAGTTGTCATGGGGCCCAAATAGCAGTGACATTCTGTCCCCTTTGCTGCTTTGTCTGATCCTGCAAAAGGTCTTTGCTGTAAAAATACCCACACTGAAAACAGATGATGTGTCAACTCCGTAATTTAAACCATGAATCTGTACTTGCTTAAAGATGAACTTGTTTGGAAGAAAAATGAGAAAAATGCTTGTGTCTGTCCAACAGAGCCCTGGGTAAGAGCATCAATTTTGGTTCCTAGCAGGTCCGGGACAGAATAGAAGGAAACTGCTGAGCTCAGCAGCTGAGGAAACCACTCTTCTTTTCACAAACACAGTTTCGGGGATGGTAATCGTATCTATTAGCAAGGGTGCCTCCACTGTGGGCCTGACAGAAGAATGAACTCCCCCACATTGCAAAATGAACAAAGTGGAGATCGATAAATCATAAAATTAGTTGAGACATCATCTATCTTTCTTGGCTTCCCCTCTCTTCTTGCCACGGTCCCCTGGGACACTAATTCATTTATTGCGTTTTTGTCGTTGGGAAAACACGTCAAGGTTCGGAGGCTGCATTCAGTTAGCAGAGCAGGGGCAATAATGTGTGTCATTAATTAGGCAGTTTGGGGAGGTTCATTCCAAACTCCAGTCTCAACAGACTTTCATAAATTGAGTTTCAGGACTATGTATGTGTCTTTATCAAAAAGCAGTGTTATTGAAATATGCCCTGAGAAGGAGAGAGTGAGGGACCTGTCTGCTCACTCTAGAGAAGCAATAAATTTAGGAACAATCTAGGTGGTCAGCTAGATGCAGTCTGCATTGTCTGAACAGCCTTTCTCTTATCAGCACGTAATCAAAGTAAATGTGGGACACAGCCTGGATTAATGTGTACATGTCACCTGGCAACTAGCTGCATGCCTGGTCCTCAGAGGCTTACAATAAGCAGGTTTTTGAAATATTTTATTGTAGCAAGATACCTAGGGTGAGGTGTGTGTTCTTACATTATGATTTATTTTATTTTTATTTATGTGGATGTGAGTGAATTTGCACTCAGGTAAGAGGGGCTATCAGGTTTCCCTGGTGTTGGAATTACAGGCTGCTTGATGTGGGTTCTGGGAGCCAAACCCCAGTCTTCTGCAAGAGCAGTGAGTGCTTTTAACTGCTGAGCCAAAGATGTATGTTTTAAACAAATTTTCACATGTTCCTTCCAGTGTTGCTGTCTACAGACACTAAAGGCAGCATGCATGTTTCTACAACGCATCTTGCTTAACTGCAGATTTACACTCATTGGTTTGTGACTGTTCATCCTCTCTCTCTGGCTCCTCAAAACGCTATTCCCTTCTGGTTCTTGATTCTGCCTGCCTTAGATAGTTTATGCAGGGCACGTCCCCGTGTGATTCGTTTATTTCACTTAGCATGTCATCCTCAAGGTTTAACCTAAATCTTATGTTACTGACTTTCTCTTTTTAAGTCTGAGCAATATTCCCTTGCATGTGTATATTGCAAGGAGGGACCACTTGTTTATCCTGGCCACCTGGCTAGCTTAGCCCCGAAATAACCATACAGAAACTGTATTCATTAAATCACTGCTTGGCCCATTAGCTCTATTTTTCTTATTGGTAATTCTTACATCTTAATTTAACCAATTTCTATTAATCTGTGTATTGCCACGTGCCAGTGGCTCACTGGGTAAAATTCCCAGCATCTGTCTCTGGCAGATCCATGGTGTATCTCCGACTCTGCCCTTCTTTCTCACAGTATTCAGTTCTGTCTTCCCTGCTTACCTAAGTTCTGCCCTATCAACAGGCCCAAAGCAGCTTTTTATTAACCAATGAAAGCAACACAAAGACAGAAGGACCTCCTACACCACGTGTATATGACACCCTCCTTGTCCATCCATCTGTTGATTCATGTTTGGTTTGTTTCCTCTTCTGAACTCTTGTGGATAGTGCTGCATTGATCATGACTGTGCTAATACCTCTTTATCCATTATTGATAAATATCCAGATGAGGTACTGATGGATCATATGGGAATCAGAGTCTTCAGATATCTCCGGTTTGTTTTCCAAGATAGCTGTACCATCTTGAGCTCACCAGTGGTGTGCATGAGCTGGCAACTCTTGTCTCATCCTGGGAACTGTCCTGTCAGCTTTGAGTTGACATTCACTGCCATTTCCATTTTCATTCAGTAATACTGGTCCATGCTGTTGAGCCCTTTAGATACACTTGTTAATGTTTGATTAAGGAACTGAGGGCCAATGAGAGGTCTCAGGGGGTAAAGGTACTTGCTGCCAGCCCTGATGACCCAAGTTCAATCCCCAAGACTCATTGGTAGAAGGAGAGAATACATTCTCCTCAAATATCCTTTTACCAACACATGTGCAAATAGTATGTGTGTATACACACAACTAATAAGTATAGTGTGTAGAAATGGAAACGTTTGTGCACTGAACACTAGATTGTATTAAGGAAACACATGAGAAGAAATACAGATAAGTGTGAAGAAAGCTAATATTTATGGAATATTGAGTATTGTTAGGATACCCATGTTACCCAGTGGGAAATGTGGATCAGTACAGTCTCTATGAGATACAATTCACTTGACATACAAAGAAATCCAAAAGCTCATGCAGAGCTACAAACTTCCGTGAGTCTTCAGACCTGTCTTGATGAGAAAGAACAAAACTGGAGGCATCACACTTCCTGGCTTCCAAACATATTGTAAAATTACAGTAGCCAGATCAGTGTGGCACAGGCATTAAAACAGACATGACCTGATGGCACAGAACAGAGAGGTAGAAAAGAAAAAGCCCAAGTCTTCAATTGAGTGTTGACAAAGGGGCCAAGAATTACAATAGACAAACCATAGTCTCACTAACAAATGGTGTTGGGAGAACCGTGTATCTCCAAACAAGGAATTGGGGTAAACTCCATTAGTGACAAGTCCTTCTTCCATGCTTCACATTTAGCTCATCCGTGAATGGCCCAAACCTTTTCCTTCTGTACCATGGACCTGTCCACTTTCACCAGAGCCAGACAACTGGTTCTTCTGCCTTCTCACCTTGCCATATTCTTCATACAGATACAAGACTATCCTTAGGTTAAGCATAATTAGATGGTACTCTATGGACTCCAAGGTGGGCAGACATGCACAGGACTTGGGAATGGCAGCTGCCATCATAGAACATGCCACAGTAGAATCCACTCCACCTGAAGTCACACTGATGAGGCAGACACTGTTTCCTTATGTGTGGGAGCATTTACACGGGGAGAGGTTTTCCTTTTAGGTAAGAGCCTTGGGTCCTGGGGTGCTGGGAGGTCCTGGTGTTGGCGGTGGGGAAAAGGGTGGTCCTCAGCATCCATTCTGTTCTGCAAACTCCTCCGCTCACTGTCATGTTCAAAGCTTGAGACTTTGCCAACTTTGTCTCCTCTCAGGGCAGGTGTCTGGTCTGAGAGCATGGTGGCGGCATTACTGGTAACGAAGTCTTTGAAAACATGTCTTAGGTGCACGTGTCTCTCTGAGTGTGGTCATGTGGGAGTGCGTATGTATTGTGTGTCCATGTGTGTATGTGTGTGTGTGTGTGTGTGTGCATGAACAGCATGCATGTGGAGGTCACAGGACAACCACAGGTGCGATGTCTTAAGCATCTACTAATTTTTCTTGAGAAAAAGTCTTTCACAGGCCAACAGCTACACTGCATAGGGCAGGCTAGCTGGCTCTTGAGCTTCTGATGGTTCAGCTGTGCCTGCCTCCCGTCTTGTCATCACTGGGATTGACAGGTATTTACCACACCTAGACTTTTCAGACGGGTCCTGGGGATCCAAACTTAGGTCCCCCCAGCTCATGCTTTGCTGACTGAGCCTGCAAATCTGATAACAAATCTCCATCTCTTTGCTAACATTTTGAAGGTGATGGAATTGGAACTGCGTGTTCCGTTCTGGTCTTTGATTCCTATTTTATCCCCAGCAAGGAATCTTGGTCAGAAACTACATGGATCATGGGACCCACTGGACTGGAGTTTGAGTCTCACCATGACTTTAAAAAAAGAGAGATTTATTTTTATTATTTTAAATTATGTTCCCTCCCCCCATGTGTGCTTATGGGTGTAATGCTCAAGCAGGCCAGAAGAGGGCATCAGATTCTCTGAAGCTTGAGTTAAGGTGGTTGTGAAGACACTGTGCGTGCTGGGAGCAGAACCTTGGTCCTTGGGAAGAACAGTATACACTCATAACACCTGAGTCAACTTTCCAGTCCCTTCCCTATGATTTCTTCTTTTAATATGGAATGCTTCACAAATTTACATGCCATCCTTGCACAGGGGCCATGCTACCCCTCAATGTATCATTCCAATTTTAGTGTATGTGCTGCTGAGTGAGCACCCTCCCCATGATTTTTATGTCCTGTGATTTGGGAGATAGCGGCTTGCATTTGGGCCCAAGGGGCTGCTGCTGTTGTTAAGATTTGGGTTATTTATGACCTGTATCTGGGCTCTTTCTGTTGTCAAATTCTGTCTTTATTTCTGCAGACACAAAGCACGCACATCATTGCACACTAGAGCAGGTGCAGGGTGCCGAGTGGCCAGAGGAATAGTGACCTCTGTCCTGATGGTGTACAGGATTGCTGAAGATGTTGAGAACCCAAAGCAGGGGGCCTTTAGTCCCTTTATTTTAGAAAGATCGTTGCCTCTTACCCCACATGCCATTTAGCAGGTGCCGTGCACTTTTCTAAAATATATTTTTTTTGTGAATACCTTAGATTTATGGAAAAGTCTCAAAGATAGCACAGAGAATTCCTGTGTTCATCCTTCATTGGGCTTGCCCCAGATTAGGAACCCCATGTATCACCCAATCATATTTGCTGAAAATATGATGTTAACACAAATACACGGCCATTAAATAAACTGTGGACTTCCTATATTGTATGTGTTACCATTAATCTCCTTTTAATATAAAAAATAGATTTTGTCCTTTTTATTCTGTGCTGGGTATGACACTCAGAGCCTTTCAATTCTGGCAAACCCTCTACCACTGAGTTACACCCCCTGCCTAGGCCCTAAGACCCTTCTATTTTTGAGCCATAATCTAATTTAAGATATCACTTTGTATTTAGTAGTTTAACTTTAAATTTTAAAAATTTTATTTATTTGTGCATATATGTCTGTGTTACTCATATGTATGCATATGTAGAGGCAGGGTAATGTTGGGTATCTTTCTCAACTACCTTTATCTTTTCTTTTCTTTCTTTTTTTTTTTTTGAGGCAGGGTCTTTCAGCTCATCAATGACTTGGCTAAACTGGCTGACCAGTGAGCTTCAGGGATCCACCTGTCTCTGCCTCCCCAGTGGTAGGGTTATAGGCATGTACCGCTATGCCTGGCTTTTTACTTGGCATGGTGGATCCAAGTTAAGGTCTTCATGACTGAGTAGCAAGCACTTCATCAAATGATCCAACCTCCTCAGCCCTGCACTCTGTAATTTAAAAAAATAGACAACAACACTTTAAATTCCTTACTGTCAACATGCCTATTGACTGCACCTGCCAGGGAAGACCCCTCCTGTTGACTCCATCTGCCAGGGTGGGACCACTTCTGCCCTCTCTCTTGATGTCCTCCCTACTTGACCTCTGGAAAGCTCTACTTTATTCCTCTTATCCTTATTCATTTGAAGCCAAAGAATTTTTTCTTCTTGTTAACGTCCCGTGATTCCATCTTGCTAATCTAACTGAATACAAACCCTCCCTTTACCTTCTTATGAAACACTGTAGTCTTTTCTGAATCAAACCTTTCCTATTTTCATCAGAAATAGGCACATAGATTACATCTCCACTTTGAATTGTTGTTTTAGTGTGAGGTGGGAATTCTTTGTTGCCTGTATCAACACTGATTTGTTTAACCATCCCCTGATGATGGATATTCTGGTTGTTTTTATTCACTGAGAATTATAATGCGACCACAAGTCGGTTGTGGTTTTTTTCTTGGAGGGCGAAAGCAGGCTGGTAGGGAAAATCATGATCTTAGTTTAGAGGACACCAGAGCCTTTTCTGGAGCCCCTAAGACTTTTCTGGATTATCCCTTGGTGATGGCTCTGACTGGGAGGCAAGCCTTGAAGACTGTATCTTTAGCGATAAGCATGGGACCCTGTAGCCAAGGCTCAGAGGTTTGTACTTGGACTGCAGTCGTATATACTGCCTCCTGTGCAGGTCTTTTCTTGGCCCAGGGTATGAACCCCTTGCAGGTTTATGGTCAGGCATAATTAGAGTCGTCTTCTACAGAGGCTGCACGCTGTCCATCAGGCTGGGCGATGGTGTGCCGTGGAGGAGGCCTGGGGACATTTGAGAGTCGAAGCAGGCGAAGATGGACGAGGAAGCAGCTCTGTGTAGAGCGAGGAATGTGCAGAGGGGTAGATGTGCGGCTCCCATCCCTGCTCTGTCATATGTCAGCTGTCATCCTTCCGGTAAGTTCCACCAGGCCTTCGAGTCTCAGGCTCTTCACCTGTCAGATGGAGGTAAATATTTTCATGACATTTACTGGAGCTAAACCTGACCCATCAGCAAAGAGCACAGAACAAGGGCAGAGGGTCATGAGCCGGGAGCTTCAATCCCACAGGGGCACATGGGGAGAAGTCTCTCTTTGACACTGCTCCTGGCTGTGTGCTAGGTCTTTACCTACTGGTGAGCCTGATGCTATTTTATTTTATTAATTTAATTTCTTGTATGCTCACTCACCCACCGGTGCTTATCTGTTGAGTACTTGTGTCTGTCAGCACTTTCCAAGGTGCTGAGGGTAAGGAGAGGGATGAGCCATGGGCCCCGCCCACTCTCATTAAGTTTGCTTCTATTGTGATGGTTGACAATAAGCACATATGCTAACTATTGGTTAGTCACTTGTCCACCTCATATCCTTCAGGATATGAGGATATTCTTGAACACTCCCCAGTGACCTTCTGCCTCCAGCTACGCCTCAGCTCAGCTTTCCAACATCTCCCCCAAAGCACCACTGTTTGTAAACCAAATATTCAGAACATGGGCCTGGGGAACTTTTCCCACTTAAAGCAGAAAAATATTTTCAATATACTTTTGTTTTGCTTAATAATCTTAAAATCACATTTGTCTGTGTGTGTGTGTGTGTGTGTGTGTCTGTGTCTGTGTGTGTGTGTGTGTGTGTGTGTGTGTCTGTGCATGTGTGGGTGCACATTTATAGATCAGAGGGCAACTTTTGGGAGTTGTCTCTTCCCTTCTACCATGTTAGATCTGGGACTGAACTCTGGTCATCAGGCTTGGCAGCAAGCACCTTCACCTGCTGAGTCATCTTGCTGGTCCTGGATTTAATATTTATTAATATGAACTTAGGGTGTAATTTCTGGATCCCCTTGAGGAGCTGCCATTTTTGTTTTCTGCCGTAATGATGCTCCTTTACATTCCCACCATTAGAGCGTTGATAGTTTGAATTCACCTGCACCAGTGGTTCTTAAACTTCCTAAGGCTGTGACTCTTTACAGTGCCTCACACTGCAGTGACTACAACCACGAAGCTATTTCGTTGCTACTGCATAACTGTAATTGTGCCTCTCTTATGAACCCCAGGTTGGAAAGCACTACTCTGTCCTACTCTGTCCTCTATACCATCACCAACATGCTTCTTCTTTGCTTATCTTCCCCATCTGGTGTTAGAAAAGGACACAGCCTTGCTGCTGAGACTTGCCTTCCCCTGATAGCTCATGGTGCCTTTCCAGTGCTTGTTGTAACGAGTGTTACATGACCCTCTCTCATGAGAGCTCCACATTTGGGGAAAGCAGAGATCATACAGAGAGCTCTGTAGAGGAAGGTCTGCATGCAGGAGGGGTTACACTTTCCGCTGGTCCTGCTGGGCAGGGTCTGAGTCTCTGAGAGTCCCCGCAGGAGGAACTGGAGCGCAGAGAGCCCAGGGAGAGGCTTCTGCAGGTCCAGACAGGAGGTAGAGGGCATCTGGATAGGGGTTGGAGACAGGTAATTGGGAGACCAAGGTGAGGAAGGCACAAGGAAGTTAGAATTGGGATGTCAGGCTGATGAGGTTCTGGGGGCAGGGTGGTAGGAGAGAGGGATGGGAGCCTCCAGCTGCGAGATGTTCCGTTTCAGCGGCAGAAGTGGGGAAGGCATCTGTAGAAAAAAGATGAGGTCACCAGATAGGCAGGCCAGAGTAGATCTTCTCCCACTTAAAGATAGTACATTTAGTTATTTTTATTTATGTTCTGAGCACATGTACATGGGCCATCATGCATATGTGGAAGTCAGACAACTCATAGTGACCGGTCCCTCCTTCTGTCACATGGGTCCCAGGGGTTGAGCTCAACTATTCAGTCTCGGCAGCAAGCACCTTTACCTGCTGAGCTATCTCTCTGATGCCTCTGCTCGACCCCTTTCTGCCTTAATAGTTTGTGTGTAAGAAGAACAATCCTTTGTGTGTGTAGGAATGAAGGGATGCAACAGGGATAGCCTAGATAGCATTGACGTTGTTGGCGCCTACTACATTACTTACGCTGTTGTTTACCTTGAGCTCGTTCACTAAGATGGTCCTATTTATCTCTATAACTATGTTCCTTCTTGTTCAACCTCGGGGTCCATGTAAGGACGGCTCGGTTCACTGTCTTCCCCCTCATTCTTCCCTCGCCAGCTGCACATTCGCTGTAGACAACATGTTGGAGATACTGCTTTTCGTTATAACTGCCTTCCCAAACCCCCACGAGGGTCTCGTCCTGCTTCCCAGGTGAGGCAAACAATACTTTTCCTTCCCAGGGTGACTTGTCTGAGGACTCAGTTTGTGGCCTACGGAGGTGTGATCGTTAGCTTTAATTATTAACTTGACACGACCTGGGCAGAGAGTCTCAGTGGGGGAGTGCGCAGATCCAGCTGGCCTGTGTGCATGTCTGTGAGAGAGTCCCTTGATGGCTAGTTGGTAGGAGAACCTGGCTGGGATGTGGGCAGCACCATTGCATGGGCGTGGCCCTGAACTGCGTGAGGGAAGAAAGCATGGGCAGGTAGGCAGAGTGGGTGGATTTATTCCTCTGCTCTGGTTGAGGATGCTTTAAGTTCCTGCCCCAACTTCCACTTAGTGATGGACTGTACCCTGGAATTAGAAGCTGAATAAACTCTCCCTTCCCTTTAGTTGCTTCCCCCAGAGTATCTTTTATCACAGCAATAGATGTGAAACCAGGGGTGGAGAGAATAGTCGTTTTTGTTTGCTTCATATTCTATGCCATCATATACAGTTTTTCTTACTTAATCCTCTGTTCACCCAGTAAGGTTGGCATGGCAATCTTTGCTTTAAAAATTAAAAAAAATGCCAGAACTACAAAGTTACAGAAGTGGCGTGGTCTGAACGCAAGGCCCATGAATCCCTGGCAGAGAG